CTGCTCGTCCAAACCATTCTTAGCGTTTATTTGTTTGTTTGTTTGATTTTGTTAAACGTCCTATTAACAGCTAAGGTAATTTAAGGACGGCCTCCCCTGTGTGCAAGATGCATGCGTGTAGTGTATGTGTGTGTATTTTGGGAGGCTGCGATATGTTCGTGTTTGTCTCCTTGTGATAGCGCGAAACTGATGCCGACTTTATAGTGCTACCTCACTGAAACATACTGCCGAAGACACCCAGCAGTACGCCCAACCCGGTCACACTATATTGACAACGGGCGAACCAGTCGTCCCACTCCTAATTTGCTGAGCGTTAAGCAGGAGCATAAACTACCATTTTAAAGACTTTGGTATGTCTCGGCCAGTGGACAGAACCCAAAGCCTTCCTCACAGGGGCGAACGCTCAACAAATGGCCAAAAGTGAGGCATTGTCAAGGGAGACATTAGGAAGAAGAAAGTTATTTAGAAAGGAGAGAAGAGATAAGGTCCCAAATTTAGTCGCCTCTTACGATCATGCAATTGGGTGCAGCAGGTACAATTCTTACGCCCTACCTGCAGGGTACCCATTCTTAGTGCCATTAAACCATGGTACATATTACAGTCATACTGTGACACTGTATACCCCAAGATGATGAATTAATTGAGAATTATTTTCAAAGTTGCCATAATAATTACTGTTCTCTCTGAGTATGCCAGGAGATCAACAAGTATTCATATCTAACGTTGTTCAGTCCACTCAGGACCTATAAGCTATTCTTCCTATTTATAATTTTCCTACCGTGTTGAAATGTTATTGTCGTTTTCAGTCGGGAGAAAGAACGTGATTGAACGTTTCAACGAGATAAAATTCAAGCGTTCAAGAACATACATTGTAATTAATGTAAAAATGAGATATTCTGTTATAGCCTTATAGGCTTGAGAACGTGTGATAAGATTACGTGAATGAATACTTTTTAGGGAAGAAATGCAGGAATCAACTTCAGAGATATTATATTCAAACTTTTGTACATAATTCTTCATGCCAAGTAATCCTTGACGTGTGAACATCAGCTTTGCTCGCTTGTGTTACATGCAATTTATGGCTCTCCGTACCTATATGAAGCCATATGCGTTAGTTTTGTGAGTTTTGTGAGTTTCAAATTCAGTTTTCTGTTTTGTTTGAGAGTCTATTCTTTACCATTTCAGTATAAACGTAGATCTCATGGCAGCTGACCTCCCTTTTTCGGGGCCGCGATGGCCAAGTGGTTAAGGCGTCTGACATTCTACTACCACTAGCCCTCCATCAACAGTGGGTCGTTGGTTTGAGGCCTACGTGGGGAAGTCACCAGGTACTGGCTGTAGGTCGGTGGTTTTTCTCCGGGAGTTCCGGCTTTCCTCCACCACCAATACCTGGCACGTCCTTAAATGACCATGGCTGTTAATAGGACGAAAAACGCAAACGAAACAAAACCAAAGTCTATTCTTTTCACCTACAAACCCTCTAACAAACAGCTTTTTGATGTCCTTTTCCCTAATTGTTATCTTATACTTAAGTCTCAGTCTCCGAGTCAATACACATCTCAATTCTCATGTACCTACATACAGCTGTACATATGTACTGTACACATCATCAAAGCAACCTGTGAGCCTACGTATTAACAATGTAGTAGCAACACTATTTATATGCCATATATATATCTTTCCTGCCTTGTAATTCACCCACACCCGTAGTATTTCTTCACAATACAGACAAGTTTCCTTTCTCATTTTTTATTATTATTCCGGGACACATGAACCAGCCCTTGGTGTACAGGGTTCTCCCCAGAATTTTTTTAAGCTGATATGTTTCATTTGCAACGAACATTCAAGACGGACACGCTAATAGAATACCTTATAATACCTTATCAAACCTAAGGGGGGGTGGGGGGTGTAATATAATGTTTAAAAAGTTACTTTTATTTACCAAACTTCTTTTGGTGAACATTAAAACCAAGGAAATAAATAAGTGTTTCTTATGTCTGAATTTTCAGCAATATATTCTGAAAAAAAAAAAAAATTTATGGAAAGGTGGATGAGTTTTGTACATTGAATAATAGATATGACATTTGTGACATTTGTCTCTTATCTTTACATTTGTATCCCTTACTTAATCCCCATTAAAAATAATTTAAAGAAGAAATATTTAAAAGCTATAGGGGGAAACACTTACATGAACAAGTTTATATCATAGTTCTTATTATTGTAAGAGAAAATGTTTTAATAAAATGTACAGTGTTTTTATTTCCTCTAAAACTATATTAAATACTGCTGTCAGTAAATGTGATCAAAGATTAAAACAGCATTTTTATTTGAGCTCTTCTTCATTAAAAACGACAAATCCGGAATTTCATTCCCCTTTCCGGTTTGTACTTTACACAATCCAAGATGGCGACCATCACTAACTGAATACACACGCTATTTCAGCGTTGTCAAATGCAATCATATGTGAGTAAATTAATTTATAATAGATGTAATAAGTGTTTGTTTTGTTAATCCAACAGTAGGTACCTCAATTAATCACCTATTGACCATGCTAAAAGGATCCGGTGGTAATTGCTTTAGGCTCCAGTGAGCACGCTTGCCGGACACCTGTGGGCTTGTCGTCCGGTCCCCCTCCCCACTAATTACAGGCCCCCTATGGCTATACGCTTATCGTGCATCTGACCAGTGGGGTCATTGATGGACTTGGGTCAGCCGTGTGATTTAATCAGTGTCAATTTCTTGTGTAAAAAGACCACCTTCTGTTCAGTACAAATAACAAGGTGATACGGTTCACAGTTTAAGGTGATACGGGTCAATTAAGCTGATACGGCAGGGAGGATTTCAAACTGAAGCTGACACGGAGCCGTATCAGCTAAATGGCCTGGGGAGAACACTGTATTATCGGTAATATCATAGATAGATAGGATTTGTAAAAATAGTGTCAGAGACTTGTTATTGAAATGCGTTGTCTTCAATCAAATTTCTCTACTGAAGTTGCACCGTACCGTGGTGACATTTATTTTCCAGACTCGGGAAATGTTACATATAAAGTTTATACTCGTGCTTACCATCAATTTCCACTTCTACCACCCCATTTCATATGCTGCCTTTTGAAGTTGCAGATTACCAGCACTCGAAAATATTGAAAGAACCCCATGTTTATCACAGCTACTCAACACAAGTGATTACGAAATATCATAAATGAACCAACAGGTTCAGGATATTTCAAATGAACCAATGCGTTTTCAATAAGTCATTAGATAAATAATTTACGAAGACATGTGGATGTTAAGAAAAGAAGCATAGCTCAATACAGATCATAAAAATGCAGAAGGGTAACAATATTATGATTATGAATTAGATTGTAAATTGATATTTGACTGTTTGAGTGGTGCAGTGGTTAGCGCAAGCACCTTTCACTAAGACAGCCGGTGTTCGAATCTCTGATCGGACGTAGGTTTTCTTCGGGTTCTCCGGTTTCCTTCCACAATTAGACCCTCTGCGCGCTTTCATCTGGCCAAACAAGAAATGATGAATACGAAAAAGAATAATTTGTTTCATAATTGGTATAAAAGAGATAAAGTATATATTCTTATTTGTTATTTTGAATAAATCTTTATTTAATTAGTTAAAGTGGGGGTGGGAGACATGCAAGCATATTATTGTTTTTAAGTGGCAAATTGTCTTCATGTAAGATTTACGACTGCAATGCAGTATACACTGTCATGAACCTGTTAAGGAGTGGTCTTTTCAAGATGGCGGCCGTTACAGACAGCAAAAGGTTGGTGTCTATTTCAAACCTGAAAAGCTTTTGTTTCCAAAGCTGGTCTGAGCACGGTATGCAGCAGTGTCAACCGGGAAATATGCAAAATTCACATTTCGCCCCTCAGTAATTACTTTAAAAGATACTTGGAAACCAATCACAAAGTTGGCCGTTTAGCATTTTGATATACAGTACTATAAATTAATACGGGGGAAATTCAACCAAACGTTTCCTGTTTCCATCGGTTTAACAACGTGTTACATTGTTCTACTGTTACTGAAAGTTTATCTCGAATTACATTGTGAATTAGAGGAAATAATACGGAAGTCAGATGAAAAATTGTGTTTATCTATACGAAAGGCCACTTAGTCTAATCGTATATATGCTAATTGTACTATCCTATTTCTCCCTTCCCGGTATCGTCTGTGTATCCGTCAGATTCTCAAGTTTATCGTCAACATCAAATAACAAGCCCATTTCCCAAACTTGTTAGCTTAAAATGACATTTCGTTCCATTTTCAAACACCATTTTATACTTAATGTAAAAATATGGTAAAAAGTAAATTCACGGTTTTTATGTAAACCATGTTCAAATAACAAATTATAACATGCTGTTATGGGCAGAATAATTTTGGTTAAATCATGTTACGCCTAGCAGCACAATTCATGCAGTATGGCAATTAAAGATATGACGTCATAATACCTACGTTCTTCAATGGAAACTCATCAAAGATTGTTTGTTATTTAATGTCAAACAACTAAATTGCACTTATCCACTGGTATACTCTTATTTTATCAATGTATGCTAACAATAACAAAATTGACAGCTTATTTGAAAAAAACTGTCGGAGGATTCCACATATCATGTCCAGGACAGGGAACGGCTCGGTCAGTGGTGGAGCAGACAGGACCGTATGATATAGGATATGTATCAGTTCAGAATAGACATAGACACAAATGTACGATGTTTGGGAAAAACGTGAGTATGTTACACACAGAACGCGAAAGCCATGTAAAAAGGCATCTAGAATTTCTGATGATATAGTATAGGTTAAATGTTGTCATGATGGAAGTATCATTAAGCTACAAACAGTTTTAAAAGATGATCGGCTTTCATTATTTGTTTTCAAATGTTGTTGTTAAATGATTTATCACGAGATCTGGAACATAGTCACGTGATATATTGTAACCGTCACGTCATCTGGCACACGTGTGTTCTGAATATAAGCAGAACGGACCTACAACGTTGTATACGGATATATCTGACGAGAGTGAGTCAGGACGTTAATGTAACATGGAATGAAAACGATCTGAGGGGATATGCATACTTTAACACGTGTTATTTTTTCAATTCGGGCGCAATCAGACCTGGGTAAGATTGGACACGAGACTAAGTGTTAAATGAACTGAATAAGGATCTGACAATACTTCTATATTACCTACAATATCCATACAATACGTGTACTAGGAATGCGATCTGACGAAGTGAAGGAGTTGCTCCACTGGAATCACATAGTATTAATTGCTCGCTCATTAACATACTAAGATCTGTAATTTTATAAAGTAATTCGATTATTTTGTATTCTGTAACTATTACTACCATGGCTATACCGGGGAAAAGAGACAATCATATTTCTAATATATACCGTATAAATGTCGGTGGTCGACAGTTCGAACTTAGCAGATCTGTAATGGAGTCAGTCGATGGGTCAAAGTTACAACGTCTCGCGAACGAAACTGAAGATAGACCAAATCAAATGGATTTCTTTTACGAACGCCCAAGTGGACCTTTCGAAGCAATATTGGCCTACCACCAAACCGGAAGTCTACATATTCCAGGAGACATGTGTCCAGCAGCTTTTAAACTGGAACTTGAATTCTGGGATATTAGTCCCGATGTCTTAGATAAATGTTGTCATCATCGATATTTGACCTTTCTACGTGAGCAGGCTGTAATGACTGGGTTCATGGAAAAGGCTCGGATCGACGAAATGACCAATGAAAAACACTGTGATAAAACGTCATCATATTTGACTAAGATTAGATCTCGGATGAAGACTGTTCTTGACAACAAGGATGAGTCCCTAGTTACACAGGTGAGTCTAAAACGGTAACAATTGTTCTGACATCTGATTAGAATAAATATCTTCTCCCGTCGACCTTATCTTAAAGGAGTAAATATACAAATGTATGAAGACTTCACAGGGAAGGGCCTCAGTAAGTTTAAAGATTTTCAGCTAAAACTCACTGTAATTTATGGTGATAATATATGTTTAAACTACAATTGTGTTGGATAGATATGGTCGGGAAGATATTTTTCTTTGTGGTAGTACATTAACATCAAATAGTACGCCTTGCTTTCGCTACTCCGCAAATGGGATATAAGAGAGATTGCGTGGAAACACGCTTTGCCTTAACCGTACAAAAATCAACCAATTATTACTGTCACAAAAATATGTCTTAGAAATTAAACAAATAAGTTCATGCGTATATCATACACGGCAAGACAAAAGCACGTTTGTCCCAAGCCAAAAGTTGAAGGCAATTGCTCGTTTAGTTGATCCAAACAATAATGGTTCCCATTATTATTGGAAAACTAATAGTACACAACAACAACAACAACAACAAAGAGAAAAACATTAAATACATAATGTGACGTGAAAAAACAACACTTTTTGTTGTAACCATGGTTGTTAACAAAAGCGGCACTTTCTCTGTAGAAATACAGTCCAATGTTGGACGAAAACAAAATTTGTTACCGTGTATGAAATCTAACATTAACGTAACGTTTTACAAAGAAGGGTTAGAATCTTTCATAGTTTTTACTAGGATATACATTTTGTATTTTCTTTTACATGAAAATCTATATAAATTAGTACATTATATTTTAATACATTTCCTTTTCCTTCATGTTTATAAAAAAAAATGCAGCAACAGTTCACGCCTTGTAAAAATTCGTTCTGAGGATAAGGTTCGATCTTTAGATTAATTTTCACATTGCTATGGTATCCCCGTCCATTTTGTTATTTCCGAGTGGTTATATATTTATAGCATCTTATAGGTCGACGACATCGGTTTCTTCTCGTTGACAAAAATACACCTGTTGTTACCCACTGCATGATCGTAAGAGTCGACTAATGTGTGACCCCCTGCAGAATTGGAGATTTGCGTTTGTGTCCTCTAATAAGGGACACAAAATTTACCAAAATAAATCTGCTGCACCCGTGGAAGTCGTTATTCCCTGCTTAACGTTCAGCGCTATGGGTAGTGGCAGCAACTGATTCATCCGTTGTCAGTATAACGTGACCGTGTTGGGTGCAATCGTCATGGTATTTCAATGAGGTAGCACTATAAAGTCGGCATCAGATCTGAACTATCAAAAGGAGGCAATTACCACAACATACCCTGTCTCTGGTACACATACTCGCATGTATGCATTCCTAATACACATGGAGCCACGCCCTTAAATGGTCTAATACCCCGATCACACATTCACGGATCTCGCTAGATCCACTACGAATGGAAAGTCACGGATGAATCCGGAATAGTCTATATCCGATATAAACCGGAATGACACGTGTCACGTCGTATGCACTGCGGATTAATAACGGTTCGCTACGATTTTAGTACGGGTTAGCACGAATTAGAACGGTCTGGCACGGATTAGTGCGAACTCGCACGGAGCGCCACGGACCACGTAGCGCCACGGACCTGCCATTGTAAGCAATCCGTATACAAACACCAACGTTCGCGCGTTCATTTCATAGCTTAATTTTAGTTTTACTACGGGTTAGCACAAGTACGTTGTCCACAGTAACTAACCGTACCGATCCCTGACGACTTGAGGCCGGGGATATTCTTAGATAAGTACATCTATAATTACGGTTTAGTACGGACTACAACGGGTTAGTACGTTCTACTACGGATCAGTAGGGATGCACTACGGTTGTCTGATCCGTGGTGAAATTTTCAACATGTTCAAATTACTACTACGATCGACCAATGATACATTACGTGCAGCTAAGGACCACTACTGATTGCCACGATTTCCATATCGTATCCGTGGCTAATCTGGCGTCCGATCCGTGAATGTGTGACTGGGACATTAGCTTATAGATCGTTAAACCCTTTAAAACATTAAACCTTCTTTGGTTACAATATCATAACTAAACGTATTTAACATATTTCATGTTTTATTACATGATTGTTTCATAAAGTTGCAATACAAAAGCTTAATCTAGAATTGTCAATAGTAAGCCGGCTAACCGGTTACTCGATTCGAAAATATTTTATACGGTCACCATAATAATATGTGGTTATGAGGTAATATGATTATTGAGTAAATGCTTGTGTAAAATGTAGGGCATGTCGAAAAAGGGACAATTACTCTAAACAACAATAATGCCTAAATAGATTTACTTGGCTTAGTACTGTAGTAATTGAATATTTTTCAAATTGAACAATTATTCTTTTATCAGCTAAATGAACAAAGGATAGTTTCCGTAGTTAAACATTGCTAATTTAATAATAACATTATTTCTGGTAGTTGATCTGATGAGATTGGACTATCAGCAAAAGGTTGACATGATATTATCAATAGAAGGATGTGGGCGAGCTAGCACGAATTAGACTATTATTACACAACTGACAAACGGTCTATTGTCCTGAGGGTTTGATTAAAACTGCAAAAACAGACTTAAAAACATGTGTCATATTTCTGTTTTACGGCCTTTATCTGTCTGTTGAACATGGTCCTTATTCTCAGCAAGCGGATCACTCGGCAAACTTTGTAAAGTTTCCGCTTTGACACTTTCCGGTTTTGACAAGCGAAAAGTTTGATTTCATCTCACTCTCCTATTCCTGACTTCACTAAAAACTTTAAAAAAATACATAGTTCATGATTTTTTCATTTTTTTTTCATTGTTTTTGTTTTTTCATTTTTTTCATTTTTAATGCAACGATATGCAGCTGGTTTAGATCTGTACAAAGATAACATAAAAAAATTGCACATTCGCATAATTGCTTTGATTTTTAACTGATTCTGACACTATTTGTAAAACCTAGGATTTTGTTACAAATAGCGTCGCGTTGTGACTCCAATCGAAATAGTTGTTGCATTTAAGTGTTTTCAATTCTCCTTTTGGATTCATTGTATGAGGTTAACTTAAAATGTTTTCAATTTGCAAATACATAAGTTTAACATTAAACTTTAAGTTTTACATTTTGTGTGGGTTTTGTTGTTGTTTTTTTTGCATCTTACGACTAATGTTTTAAAGAATGTCGTTGTTACTAACTTACGCCATTAGACAGAATTAAATAATTCCCGAAAGAAATATGGAATAGAAACGGTGATAAATATACACTTATATAACACATCAACTATAAAATATCAATTGAAATGAAAAACCTTTAAATGCAAATTTTTGTTGACGTCGTCCTTAAATTCATCATATAAGATTTTGGATATTCAAATGAAGTTTGCAGGCAGATTGTTGTCATTCATTTAAAGAATACTAAGCTTGTAATTCATTGTTTCCCCAAATTTCCTTTTCTTTAATCATTTCAGGTCTAAATGCAGAAAGCTATATTTATTTGCTTTGAGTTCGTAACATTTGTAATTAATTTGTAATTTAAAAGCTTAGATTTGATTTTGATCAAATTATTGAAACTTTGAAATACGGTATATTGCATACATCTCAAAACTGTTCAAGGTTTAATATTTTTCGCATAAATATATATGAGGATGGATAATTTTTAATTAATATTTAACAACATTTAATAGAGAATATCATATTTTGTGTTAGAATCATATGAGATTGTGTATCCAATGCCCAAAGGTCTTCATGTCAAGCCTCTTATAGCATCTCCTACGTAAACTAAAACAAGTATCTTATAACTATAGTACTTTTAAAATTTACCTGTCAGTAGCATAAACAAGTTATGTCCTTTTATATAACAAATAACTTTTGACGATTTTGGCAATTTAAATACTCCTTTATTAGTTTTAGAGTTCAATTGGGCGAAATGTCTCTGTGTTTTTTGACAACTGACTTTACTTATTCGGCCCACTGAGGCTTAATGAGTTGTTTTCAGCGGTTTTCAATTACTGTTTGTGTTCAAAACAAACTTAGCCTTCAATGTACTTAAATGTTTGATGTAGATTATCACAGTGATAATAAAATTAAGGATATTCTTTCAAAAAATTCTTCTCTTTCATAGAGTTTCAAACGGCGGTGATTCAATGTTTTATGGGTTGTTATCTTTTTGAGAAAATGTACTCCGACCTATAGGATTCTCAGCGATCAGACTCCTGGCTTTTAAAGATAATAGTGGTCTTTTACAGCAAGCAAACTACATATCCCTATATGTGCAGCATTTTTAACAATGTCCTTTTAGAAACAAAAGCATTTAAAGTATACATGAAATATTCTAGGTTTTTTTAGCAATTATTGAAAATTGAAATATTACTTGCTTTATTTAATAGACGAATTTGTTATCCGTGTATGCCGAGAAAAATCATTGTTTTGTGATTGTATTTGTTGTATGTTTATTTATTTACAGGTTATACAGAAACACGGTGTAAGCTAAATGTTAAATCTTAATATGTTATACTGTCTCAATAAAAGAATTATATTTTCTTATTTATGGTTTAATAGTATTTACTTATATGTTGCTGACATTTAGCGCGTCTACCTAATTAAAGTATACATCCCATAGGGCAGACCTTTCAACTAGCCATTAAACCATTTACTCGTGCTTGATGTTAACGTTTAGGTGATACGTGCAGAAGATATAGGTCATCTGACCATGTTGTTAATGTCGGAGATCTTAACCTATACTGATCTGTAAACAGATGGATAACGTGCACAAGTGGGATGAAACCAAGATAAGTATGGTTCAATCCAAGTGATGGAGTACCTCGACAATAATGTAAACACATAGAGAAGAGGATGTTATCGTTGGCACTCCTCTTTGGCAATCTGTTTTTGATTAAGTGTGTGACCTGTCAAGTTTCTATTCGTTCTTTCACAGCATCAATTAATCACTGTCCGCATAGCCCCTGCAATAGGTCACGTATATCAGTGCTTTAGTAATTATATCAATTATCTCAATCGCGGGGAACAACTGTTTAAATGAAGTCCATGCACGTGTAATAAACCAGGTATCAAAAGAAAAAGTATTTGGTTTATATTCATTACATGTTCAATATCAATAGAAAGCTCTTGAGGTTTCCTGTTACTCGACCAATCGTTGCCTTATCTGACCCGCTGTCTATACAGACGTCATACAAATAGCGTCATTTCCAGCGTTTCAAGTACGTTTCCTATTAAGTCCCTGCAGGTAGGGCGTAATAATTGTACCTGCTGCCCCCATTGCATGATCGTAAGAGGCGACTGAATTTGGGATCTTATCTTTTCTCTTCTTTCTAAATAACTTTCTTCTTCCTAATGCCTACCATGACAAAGCCTCACTTTTGGCCTTTAGTTGAGCGTTCGCCCCTGTGAGGAAGGCTAAAGGTTCTGTCCCCTGGCCCGAGACATACCAGAGTCTGTAAAAATGGTAGTTTCTACTGCTGCTTAACGCTCAGCAATTTAGGAGTGGGACGACTGGTTCGCCCGTTGTCAGTAATGTGACCGGGCGGGTGTCATGCTGGGTGTCTTCGGCAGTATGTTTCAGTAAGGTAGCACTATAAAGTCGGCATCAGTTCCGCGCTATCACAAGGAGACAAATACGAATATATCGAAGCCTCCCAAAACACACACGCATACACTATACGCATGCATCTTGAACACAGTGGAGGCCGTCCTTAAATGACCATAGCTGTTGATAGGACGTTAAACAATACTAAACCAAACCAAACCAAACGTTTCCTATGCAATTGACTATTGATCATCATTTTTTAAAGTGTCTCTGTCGCAGAAATTAAGTACACATGCATTGGATGGCAAACACAGAGGTATCAAGGTATTTCCAAAATAAGTGCTTTTAAATGGGAATTTTAGACGTGCTAACTGGAAAATGGGCTTAGATTTAGATGTAAATGGCGTTATAATATGAAAGTTTAGTTCATCTTCATACTTTGCATATACAATTACTACTTTAAAACTATATATGCTACCTAATATATTAAGAGATGATTTTTATTATTTGCTTTAAAAGGCTCCCAGTGCTATTCAATCCTTCATAATTACTTAAGTATTATCGATGCATGCTATAGTTTAAACGTTTCCTATATATCCCTAATAAAGTTTAAAAAAACATGCATTTCTAAATGCAATTTTACGAGTTACTAGCTTAGAACATTTAGAAAAAAACATGTAACAGCAAGATGGTGTATGACCTTTATAACCAATCCACAATTTAATTGTTAATATTCCCTTTAATTTTTACAGGTATATTTCGTCTTTGCTGTCGCTGTCATCATCTTATCAGTTTTGGCTACAGCCCTTGGAACACTCCCAGTAACGCCGCATACGAATACGTCATCTGATGACGTCGTATTTACAACCATACGACCAATGGTATCCACTTCCGACACGGTTACAGTACCTGATCCACCCTCTGGTCGACAGAAGCTGTCACCGAACGGTGCTTCAATCGATCTTGGAAATATCTCCCCTTCCAACTGGGAGGAATGGAAAGAAAAACATTCCTCGGGTCAAGAATGGAGCACATGGAACGAGACAGTTTCCGATAATATGTTTATCAATGCTTCACGGAGACCGTTTGTCCGCCGAATGTTTGCAGGAGCGTTCGATACTGTTATACCAGAAGCCGCGCAAACCAAACTATTGACCCTGTCAACAGCTACTAACACGGAACAGTGTGTGTATATCTATATCGAATACGCCTCGAACGCCTTCTTCAGTGTTGAATTGCTTCTAAGGCTCTTCAGTTTTCCCTGGACGCCGAGGAATGTATTCTGCTTCCAAAACATCATAGAAATGATTGTATTGGCTGCTGTGTACATACGGGGTTTGATGTACCTTATTCTAGCTGAAGATTATCATGATGATATCGATTTCCTTCTCTATGTCCAAATGCTGAGAGTCCTTCGCCTCTTGCGTCTTCTTGAGAACGTAACCGCCTATCGAGTTCTTTGTTACACACTGAAGGTAGGGAAAAGGGATATGTTCATAATGTTACTTTATGTTCTGATTGGTGTTCTTTTTTTCTCGAATGTGATGTATGTCGTTGAGAGACGTGAGGATTTTCCCAGTATTCCTGCCACCTGGTGGTGGAGTGTGATCACCATGACAACCGTTGGTTACGGTGATATGATACCAAAGACAGCCGTCGGTAAAATCATTGGCACCATTTGTGCTCTGTCTGGTGTTTTCATGTTTTCCCTTATCATACCTATTTTTGTTAACACATTTCTCTCATTGTACCAATTTGCAGACGTGCAAAGTCGCGATACAAGTGACAAGAATCAGTATTTATTAGTTACGGACCGAGATTTGGACGATATTGTCACAAGTGTGAACACGATCAAGGAAAATGGTGATTGCCCAAAAAGGCAATGTGTTAAAACTGAATCCGTGTGAAACATATGCATCCTGACTTTAGAATAAACTCTTGTTTCGAAAGTGACACAGAGCAAAACACTAATGTCAGTCTCCACAATGACGGCTCATTCATAGTATTATATCTTTAGTGTTTCACATCTTTTCCTCGATTTGATGGGAATAGAAGGTGACATATCTGGTACAGAAAAGGGTCCACTTTCAGGAGAATCTGGTTTCATTTCCTTTGTTGTGGGGGTAACCGTTAAGGTTTCCCACGTAAAATTAAAGCGCTTATGTATACAGAATGATTCCTATGACATCGACATCACATAACATAACGAACAATCTAATTTTGGCGGTTTCTTCTATGTTACATAGTGATGTGATGATGTGTTTTGTCTTAACGTTGTTTGTTATGTTTGTTTAAACGAAAATGAATAAATATTTATTAGCCACACATATGCAAGGGTTGTCTGAATGTTTTTGTTAACTAAATCAATGAGGAATAGCTAGAATCAGTTAAGGGTTAAACATTTTACACTGGGGAAAAAGTGTTTATTACATGTATTTGACTGTGTGTATTGTAACTACAAAAGTAAGACAATATATGGTTTTTTTTTTGTAAAATAAAAATGTGAAAGTTAGATATAAATATATATGATAGAAATGATGCATCTGCAAACCTGCAAACATGCTCTCTCCATGGTTCGAGCCCACGATCACCGTCACCATATCGCCTTACTCTGACCAGTAAACTTCTGTGGCCTCAACACAAAAAGAGGTTTAGAAGCTGCAATGCATGGTCAACAGGACGATTATCATTTTCACATATCGTCTATTGATAATATGAGTATCTGAACAGCAAGGTATTCCTTTATTTATGACTACTAATTGTAAAATATTTACCCACAAGACATATGAATTTCGAGTCGTCAGTCACAAATGAAAACTATCATTAATAATTGGTTTGTTAGTTTTTTAACTACAGATTTCCGACTTTTTGTCTTTCCATACCAAAAAATAAAATATTGACCGTACAAACAGATCATGAAAATTTCATATTTGAACATGCGATCGACTCTAGCGCTTTAAATTGTCAAGAAAATATCGATCCTACAAAAATATAAATTCAGGAATAAGGTCACAAAAATTGAAAGAGAATATCAATATCACAATCGTATAATTTTTGATGTACTCCAAATATTAAAAGAACAGTTTTTTCGATTTTTTTCAGGTTATGAGGTGATACTACCAGTTGAGCACGTGTCAATTGAATATATGGGTTTAATTTACTCGTGGTCACCTAATAACCTGACCAAAATTATTCCTTACATTTTCATTTCTGTTTCTTTGAATTGTTTGTAACTATTTTACTAGTTAGAAGATCAGCGGACACGCCTTACATTTTCAAAACGTATCAACGTTCGATCGGTTCAATAAAAGTAACAGCCTGCAATTTGAATGTCAAACTTTCATTAACTCCACCAATATCTACTGTTGGTGATGTCATATAACTGCGTCTCGTTCAACGAAAATTTGCATAGCTCCAACCAAATGTACTGTTGTGGAAGTCATGGAAACTCGTCACGTTTTATAGTCCGGCTAAGAGATGATGCCCTCGGTTTGTGGTAGTATTGGTAATTGAGTGAATGTGAGTATACATTGTAAGCATTTAGGCATCTTGAGCGCGACAATTCATTATCTTACTGTCTATATACATAACAAATAATTGAGATATCAAAAAGTAGTCATCCTTTATTAATTAATCTGTTTTTAACAATATTATAATGTCATTTTATTGTTTATATTGTAAATTTGGTTGCATTCGATTGGACTCCAGTTAATTATAACACATTTTTGTTGTCTTAAATATTCAAACAGGGTATGGATTATTGGGGAATTTGTTCTATACAAAATCATCTCCAAATTTTAACATTGAGATTTTCAAGCAAAGATAAGTAGACAATACAAAGTAATATTAATATCAACTTTCATCCTCAAATGCTTCCTGTGAGATTGAATATCACTCTTACTAAATTAAATGTATCACAATATCTTCTCACAATGATAATATGTAAGTTAATTGTATAAAATGTAATTGAGAACATATGTATAGGGGAGTTTATCTTTTATATAGACCTTGCAAACATCAATTTAAAGTTACATTAATGCTTGAAATCCAACCTGCTGTTGTTGAAAGAATATGTTTAATTACAAGCATGTGCAATGCGTTGGTGGACAATATCCTCTACCACAATTCATCTGGCACCATGCTAACATGCCCGGGACTCTGGAGTACACTGTCGCTACACCTACTGTGCATGTACTGCTTTGCGCAGCCGCGACCGGAAGAACAGTTGTCGAGGGAATAGTTGCCGTGGCGCGATTTGGTTTGGGGGTCAACGTTGCCACATATTGCTTTGTGGTAGGTTTAGGAGTTGTGGTAGTAGTTGTTGGTTGAGTGGTGGTAGTTGTGGGTTTAGGAGTTGTAGTTGTTGGTTTAGGAGTTGTAGTAGTGGGTTTAGGAGTGGTAGTTGTGGGTTTAGGAGTTGTAATAGTGGGTTTAGGAGTTGTAATAGTGGGTTTAGGAGTGGTAGTAGTGGGTTTAGGAGTTGTAGTAGTGGGTTGGGAAGTGGTAGTGGTCGGTTTTGGAGTGGTAGTTGTCGGTTTTGGAGTGGTAGTTGTCGGTTTTGGATAACTGTTCGATGTGACCACTGGTCCAACGACAGCTGCGCCACTCCGACCTTCGATTGCCACGTCAGAACATCCATAAAATTCCTCTTGGGGACCGTTTCCGATCCCACTTCGGCCATCCGGATCAGTTCCCCAACTGTTGGCTGAAATCACAACAGTTTAGCAAATTAATATGGTAATAGATACAAGGAATGTTGAATATTAGTTTCGCCTAATACATACAGTACAGCCTCAGTTATATTCTCCAAATGTGTTAACATAATGCACTGTTTGTTCTTAAGGTAGCTTGACTGATTCATTAGAATACTCATATAGTATATGTACGATATTGCTTTTAATATTGATCCATACATTTGATAATTTCATATTTTACGTTATGTATTTTTCTTCCTTACCGACGTGCCATTTCCATTGTAGGACGCATTGGGTACATGTGAGACCAAATGGAAGTCTGTATTTCATGTTGAAATGACCAACGGCTCTTGTGATGTAATACCTGTAATAGTTGAATAAGGTATACTGTAAGCGATATATGGTAGACAGACACACTTCTGAAAAATTATTTGGAGAGTTAAAGGCATGAGGTGGCTGTTCGGAACTCCTCTAAGATGATTCTCCTCTCGTAAAAATAAGTTGAAGAAGGAGACCACTGATAAACAAATGTGTATTGATGAACACCTGTTGACATACAGTCCACTGATGAAACTCTGAATTGCTTTTTTCTCTCTCTCTTTAAAAAAATATCTTTAGATTTAAAATGTGTTTCTTTCGTGATTTCTCCATCTATTCCATTTTAACCTGTAAAATATCAGAAATTATTTAGTTTTATAAAAAAAAAGATATCCTCACTGCATTGAACGCTATCGTTTTGGTGCAGTTTCTTCATTGACAACATTCTTGTAATCAAATATTACCAGATAGTAGTCATTGTCGAGCAACGTATACAAAATGACATGCAACCTTTGGTTTAGTTTGGTTTGGTTTGGATTTTGTTTTACGTCCTAGTAACAGCAATGAGCATTTGCGGACGTAGCGCGAGAAATACCCAAATTCTATTCCCTCGTTGAATACCCTTTTATTGTTTAATATGCTAATTGTGTATATATCGTTACGATATCTTTACCTGTGCTTCTCACTCTTAAAACATATATCAATATTCTATTATGCTCGTAAAGTATCCATGGTATTCAACAAGAAACACTGAAACATTTATTTATTACTAAACTTGGGTAAAAAAGCGTTTTAGTTTCTAAAATCAGCAGTTAAAAGTCACTCATCAGATCAGACCAGTAATAAAAAAAAGTCTATGACGTGTAAAATTAATTTGGAAAACTGAAGCAAATTCGATTACATAGTTATTCCCCTTGAACTGAAGGAAGAAAGTCCTCCAACTTACTTGGTGCCGCTTCCATCAGCCAGCTGTAACTTGTGCTGATCCAAACACTCTTGTGTTGCGGCTTTTTTAACGTTGTTATTGGGACAAACACGAAATTCGAACCAGCCCATGTGATTAGCAGTAACCTCCACATCAAGGTCAATGATCTGACCCTCAGAGTACTTCCGGGTTATCATTCCAGTAGCGTATCTCCCGCCAGCCTCGTTCTTGCGCTTGCCATTGTATGGATCGCCACATATGCCGCACTTTCCCTTGTTAGGGTAACCCCACTGTGTCTGTAATGTAAGGAAAATCGTTCATGGATTATAGAATCATTTAAAAATTGTCAGGCAATTTCTTTACTGACGAGTGCATCAACACAGCAATCAAAATGTAGGTATATGATAGGTTACCACCAATAAGATCTAACTTGAAAACATAAAATATACTTTCAACAAAAAAACAACAAAAAAACAACAACCCCAACTTCGATGTCAAAAGGCAAAAAAGGAAACTAAAGAGACACCAAAACAAAAGTAAAGCTTTTATGAATCTGCTCCAATTCCGGGTGTAAACAAACTGTGTGGTAAAGCGTTTCCTTCACGACTTGCGGCTTCCTTCAAACCCTTACACATCAAAACCAAGAAAGTACGCAGGACAACAGTCATGTATAAAACTGGTATCATTCTGGTAACTGTAATCCACGAAAACTTACTATGGGCAAGTCTAATATTCCTTATATAACGGTAAAATATGGCCTAAGCAACGAGTTCTTACACAGAAATGTCGCACAATTAGACATGATAACAACCCACTCGGTCTAGTTATACTGATAACAGGAAAATACAGATGTCAAACATCACACCAGACTTCTCCGAAATCTACAACCTACATCTGGCGATGGTTTAACTGGAAAGTTTCGTTGATGACAACATCACATGAGTCTCCTCATACTACGACGGTATAAGCAGCAGGTCGCTAATACTTGTTGGTATTTACTTCAAACTAGCAGAGCATATGTGTAAACATATTAGTTATAAAGTAACAATATTTATCGAATCGCATATCCTATACAAACTTATAAACCATTCGTATATATCTTTATATTAAAAAAATGTTTTGTTTTTGATAAGCGTAACTATTTGATTGTGTAATACGTTTTTGAGGATTGGTGATTTTTTTTATTAAAAATACTGATAGAAAAATATATATACAACCGCATTGAATACTACAGAAAAAGAAGAGATAATTAATAAGAATAAGTGCTTTTTTAAAAGCTCGTGTCTTCTGTCATGCTATATCAAACAAAAAATAACGCTAGTTACTGTCACCTTAAACAAGATACAAACACCCTATTAACCAAAATGCAGACACCCCATTAAACAAAATATAGACACCCCATTAAACAAAATACAGACACCCCATTAAACAAAATATAGACGCCCCATTAAACGAATTACAGACACCTTTAACAAAATTACAGACACCATTTAATAAATCAATTTATAAAACAATAAATAATTGCTATGTTTAACAAATATTTACATGGGTAAAGTCCATTCAATGAATTTCATATATCATGGTTAAACAAATAGCTTTCACTATTTAAAAGAATACTGATACCATTAAACGAATGACTGACACTATTTCTAAACTATTCATCAAAATATTCACCATTAACTTTTTAACAATTGCAACGTAAATGCATTTTTTTCAGCCATTGATATCTATATTTCATTTATTAGATATTTTGTAAGCTTCTTAAATTGACTAGGCGTGATGAGTCAGTTCTTCCTGAATTCCCCTTAACGGGTAACATCTCCGGCGGTATGGAATGTTCATTGGGCACATGGTCGGCATAAAGTGAGGGAAACAGATCAGCACATCTTGATAACCTAATGAAGATACTCGTGCACAACAGCGTTTGTCACAGATGCTATTGATATATTAAGATTACCTCCATGTACAAACGAGAGTCAATGATAATACTAAGGAGACGACGGAGGGGTGGGTGTATGCATGAACTGGGTAATGTTCTAAGAGAATTTTAACTGATTGATAGATATATGCATGCACTTGAATAATTTGCTGAATAATGTGACAACTTCTATATGCACCTTATGAGATTATAGGATTAAACCGTTAACTTGTTTAACACATATCTAGGGTAAAATCCTACAGCAATTTACAGTTACTATGGTTACAGAGCACTGTAGCTAAAGTATATATTTTTGAAAATGACACATCCTTGACAATTTGTGTATTCCATAGTGATACAAAATATTTTGTATAAAGGATAATCTTTCAACAAAGGATTTCCCTTCCTGGTTAAGATAGCATTTTTTATTGATTTAGATTAAGTACTGTAAAAAATGGCTCAATCTTCTGTAGTGTCATAACGGAACAGAACGCCACGACATCTCATATAAACGTCACGAAGCCACTTATCAGCGGTATTTTTTTTTACTATAGTATTACCTCTTTTTGTAATGTGAAGTAGATTATTTTCTTGCTAACTATGAAACAAATGCGTGACTTCCATTACGCGTAATCCATGTATGAACAAACCTGCGTGGAAAATGTTCTTGTGTACATGAAAGTATGGGATGTTTAGTGCACAGAAAAAAATATTTTAAGATGCAGGTCTGTTCAAAGGCATATATTTACATTTGCATGGCATTGTCACTATATAGCCTCTTTGAAAGCTGTGTCGTTGATGGGACTTTAATTACAATGCATCACGAGACACAATTCTTAGCGTATTAATACAACACTGACCGGAACTACAATATCCAATAATATAAATAAACATGACGGCTGCTGAAATATCGCTGGGCATTGTGAGATTTGACAATACCATTGTAAATTTATGTGCAAAATAAAAAATTAAAAAACCAAAACAAACTTTTATTACAACGAAAACAAGACCAATGTCTGCAATATCGTACAAAATGCACATCGGTTGAAATCACCAATGCCGGCAATGGAAACAATTTTAACGCTCATGCAATTTATCAGAAAAATCGTCTGTTACACTGCACTAATTAACAGGGGTTCGTTACAAATGTCTGAAATACACATATTATATAGACCTACTGACACATATGTTACAGACCTACTGATATGAGTCACAGCACACATAAACATTTCAGACATTTGTAACGAACCTGTGCTCCGTCGCAAGATCACTCACTTCAAACGCCTATCAGTTTCACGCGTCTCGCATCCACCATTCCTCAGTTTCTGACGACAAGTCAAATAACGAGGATGTTATAGAATCTACCGACTGTTCTCAGGTTCCCATACAATCAACAAATACATTCACGCCTGGATTCTTCACAAAATGAGCAAAGAGAAAAGTTCGAATTAACTTTCAAAAATAACTCGGATTTACGGTGTTCACTGTATTTGTCCATGCGCGAAATTTGTTCCGGGGGAAAATCGAAACAATTTCAAATCGTACTTTCAGCTCAGAGTTCTATTGATAAACTTAAATCATCCTATAGACATATCATACGCAATTGTATTGATACTGAATTGTGGAATAAAATTGAAGAGTTTGTTAAAATTTCAAAGTACTACTTTGTTTGCCAATCAGCACGCGACAATACGCTGTTCAAACTATTGAACGAAATTATGTGGACTGTCGATAAGGCGGGCATTTCTAATTTTAATTTTAAATATAAATTATAAGTTAAAAAAAAAGAACATAAGAGGCAGAGAAAACGTAAATATAAGTATTGAACTGTTTTTGTATGGTATTTATGATCTATTTGAATGACACAGCTTTGCAAGCAAACAAATCATAATGCGCTAGCGCGTTTTATGTTGTTTGCTTGCAAAGCAGTGTCATTCAAAGAGATAATAAATACCATACAAAACCAGTTAAATGCTTAAGTTTATGCAACTCACCGGAAACACATTACTAATATCACCGACGAAAGGCTGTTTTCCGGAAAAGTACGGCTTTAAATTAAATGTTAAGTGTCTCTATGAAAGTTGATAGTTTGTGACCTAAAATATGATTTCACTATTCGTCACTTACATTGGATTTCTTGAAATTACTTAAATATCACTATCGATAAAATAGAATGCTACATAACACATTAAACATGGCTGTTGAGTCAGTGTTTCTCCCCCATTTAACTAGCCTCTAAATATGTAAAACTAATGTAATAAAAATCTTTCAGGTGTATCAAAAACAATGCATGATCCAACTTAAATGATATGTCATAAAATGCTGTACTTTTTCCGTAGTGTAGAACTCGTTTCCGAAAAAGTGAATGTATGTGATACGATGAGTGGTATAGTCTGACGACATACCCATACACAAATGTACCTATATCATACGAGTTTTCTTGCTAACCGTGAAATGTAGTACTGATATGAGGAAAATAAATATATTACTCATATATATCTGAATCTGGTTCATTTTAAAGGTGGATGACGCTGCGTGCCTAATGATGAGCAAGGTAGTAAATTCTACCATTAGTTTTAAATCAATGTCACAAACTTCAATAAATTCGAGAAGAAAAATTAACTAAGTTTCACCATATCAGTCACAACTTAATGGCGTTACAGACAGCAGAGGAAAAGGAAAAAAGACAATGAAACAAAGAGTTAACATCATCAGCAATAAGGGAGCTGAAAAATGGTATGAATTTATCAGATGCTTAAACTACACCAAAATACATATCAGTGAAAAACAAAAGAAGAACCTTTAATCAGAAGCGTTAGCACTTAAGAACAACATTAAAAAAAATCAAATTCGTTACGAAAATAACAAAACAGGTTAAGAAGAGGAAATATCACGAATTAAGGAAAAAAGACATTAACAACGACGGAGCAGATGCGGTGCTTATCTGTTAGCTGCAGGGACGATACCAAAATGAATAGAATCTACAGAATGAATAATTATTTGGGGAAAACACGGCAGCGTTAGCACACCACAACAAAAACAAAATTCAATGCCGTTACGAAATGAAGATTTTATGACGATGGGAGTAGAAAAGTTCTATTCACTTTCATTTGGTAAGTTTAGTTATTTATTTATTTTGTGAGGGAGCCACTGGTTTGTCTTTGATGTCATAATTATGAGACAATGCACTGACTTCTATTTACAGTTTATTTCCATCTTTATATATATTATATACAGGTACATGTCCATACGTTCACCGCAACACGTTCACTGCTCACATGTTGTCACTCCAACGTTCGTACCTAAGCTCCCAATACTTACATCCTCTCTCGTGCACCTCACAAAACTAAACTCTATCACACACACACACAATCTGTCCTATTTCTACTGTAACACACACCACCCTTTGTTCTCATGACACTGACCATTCTCAATCACCATTTCTCCCTAACGGTCCGAGCTTTAATTGACAACTTAATAAGATCTCCAGAACCAAGTAATGTCTCTACATTTAAATTGCACGCCTAGTCTTAATCAAATAAACAACTACAGACTCTCCACAGACACTCAATGATACGTACAGCTGCGGCTGACACAACTCATTAATTAGAACCACTGACCACTCTGACCCTTACTAGCCCACTTGACACTCCTCTTACTCTCAAAGGTTACACTTTTTCACAATTTTATAATATATTATTAGATTTTTTTTAACAGGGCCTATCTAGCTAAAACAAACCGTTGTGAGGGGCTCAACAGAACATAGATATCAAATGTATACAATAACTACAAAATATCAATTAATATAATTTTGAGAAATCCACAAAACTGTTTTATTTGGTGTTAGCTATGCCACTTGGTTAATCTAGTTACATGATGTTTGCATGCATGTGTGATGGAGATATATTGTGTTCCGTTTTGTGGTAAGTCCATTTTCAAGGGCACCTTTTTAACAGTGTCAACTTATTAAAATGCTACCGGCACTACAGCAACAACTTCAGACCATTTATAACTCCACCTGGGTGGTTCGAGAGTTTTAGGTCGGGAAAAACTATTTCTGTGAAAAAACAATGCAATTCGTAGGTTTATGCCAAATAACTCTATAACATATGCATCAGAAGTAAAGTAAAACAAACGCCATTTGTTGGTATGAAAAACAACGCTTCGCTAAAACACACTCTTAAACATATCACACCGTTAAAGTTACAGTCGTGCTAACGTCTACCAGAGCAACATCGAAATTCTACGCTCTTACATTGAGATAACAACATGTACCAATAAATGGATAAAAGAGGAAAAAAAATCCAAGAACACTCACAAAACGGGAGTGGTAAGCGTTAATAAGTTTAGGCAAAGGACATAAATTGGTATTCCATTAAATAACATCTATGGTTTTCTTGTTAAATATTCGAGGGAAGCTTAAAAATGGAAACTAAATCATATCTGTTAATTACTTTAAAATGAAGAAAATGGTATATGATATCTTGGTCATTATTTCTTTCGGAAACCTTTTTTTCGTCTTACAGTTGATACATTGTTAATGATGATTAGATTAATAAGATAAAACCATGTGTCAGGGGAAAAAATATGTTTGGGTAACTTAATACAATTTTACGTGGGACTCGTATAAATAGGGTACGGGCCGGGGGTCAAAGTGTTATAGCAGACAGAACAACATATTGTTTTCTTTACAATTATCTAAGGATCAAAAGTAAATCTTAAATGTGAGAAACAAATTAAGATGTTACTTTGTTGTAGATATCCAGTTTTACTTTTTATACGATATCCGTCAAAATTAGAACCAAAAATCAGAAAAAAACCTTAATCAAAAATGCGTAGTTCACATGGTTAAGTAGGGAAAACGCACGGCTATCTTTTTTGATTTATTTTAATAAATATACAAATTGTCCACGAAAAAGGATTTATAAGAATAAAATAAGATGTTCAGATATGTAAAATCCTGTCTATGAATTACATCTACGGGTCACAGGTTCGTATATTTACACAAGAAAACCCTAGTAGTACATGTAGCTACCATATTTGAAGTATTACAGTTTAAACAGTGTACAACAGTTAGACACTCAAATAAAATATGGTATAACGAACTTATTTAACACATTGAGTTCATAAAAAATATTACCAAATAAACGTCAAAACGTACATGTCACGTAAATGGAACATACCAAATAAATCGCAGCTTTTAACAAATTCTCTTACCTTCCCATTTAAGTAAATGTTATTCTGTCTTAAGTCTAAATTGATTCAGTTGTTCTGCTAATATTTATGGACCATACATAAAACTTTGAAGGACTACCAAATTCATCATAAAGTTGTATTATTTTGAAATTTGTTTACAATGAATAAATTGAAACATTAAGATTAACACTAATTGATCAAATCAATCTCCATTCGAATCTTACCGCAAAGCCGCCACAGTTGAGTTGATTATCGTTGTAGTTTGGAGGGGTGGCGTACCCTCGTCGGAACATCGTCGATCGTGAGGGTGGTTCCCACAAACGGCCATGGCCTCTAACTGTCACTACTATTGCTAAAAGTAGGCAAAGCACCTTCATTTTTCAATAGATCCCTACGTCCGGACAGGTAGTACCCGGTGCGTTTAATGTGTTACTTTACACTTTTAAGCGTTGTTTTGATACCGACAAACTCGGTCCGATACTTGTTTTACCGGTGTGGAATGTGCCAGTATCTTTCTGTGTTATGGGCGCTGTTGGTGAATTAACCCCTTTTAATGTCCCAGCATATCGCAACACAGAGGGTGCAGGAGAGACCCCTGCGACCTCCTCCCAAGCTCCTCCCTCCCGACACAATCATTTAAGGGTATATTGTTATATAAACAAACCAATCTATTACACACAAGGAACTTGTCACACATTCCCACACGGAACATGTCTGACTGGTCTGAAGATATGTTTATAGAAAACAAACATGAAATTTGAGATATGCGAGGTTTATCAATATTGAGAGGAGTGGCTTTATATCTCAATATTGTGTTAAACAAGTAATTGTATATAGGTCCCGATAAGGTAGCAAATACTCCAGAACAGGTAGGTGTGCCTAGTCATCCCTAATACATTAGAACGTCATTTGATATTGAGTCAATAACTATCAGACTTAGTGGTTAAAGTATGTTATTTCAAACTTTACACCAATCTGATTATTGTGTAGTTGAAAATTCATATATTTAGGGATTTAATAAACGAAATGATAAATTAGTGCTGTTCTGATGGAAAAAATTAAACTAATTCAAAATCGATGAAACTATGGCAAACTATGACCAAATGAAAAATTGACTCGAAGACCCTTGAACAGGAAGAGGAGACTAAGACCAGGAGTGCCTGAAGGGTTAGCGTCTTCTTCGTCATCGACAAATATATGTTAAATCTCAGGATTATAAAGTCATCAAAGAGCGAAACTAGGGCAGTGACAATATAGCCACAAGGCACACTAATGAAAATAATAAAAATAAAGTATCCCTAATGACATGGTTACGATTATGTAACTTGCCCATGGTTTCAATTAATTTGCTTCTTCTGAAACATTTTGTTGTTCATTTAGTAATCGACTTCTATCACGTAAAGTGTGATATTCGGAGTAGGCACTTGAATATCGAATCCACCGCCACATGTATGACCTGTAGGTTCAATAAGGTTTTAACAGACGAAACCTTGAAATTAGCTTGTTGAACTTAATAGCTTTCAACAAAGAGTATTGATATATAATTAAACATGTGAAATGGGGACTTAAAATCATATTCTACCTTACTGTGATATGTATATATCCTGTCTAAAATAGTTCCACTCAAAGAAACATATGGATATATATTTCATAAATGTTCTCTTTACCTTTGAGTGACGCAATGGTAGTTTTCGTTTTTTCCTGCATCTTTTGTTAACAGACTTATATATCGATATACACGAGAGCGATCTGACTAGATATTTATTTGTAAAAGAACGATAATTACAATGTACCATTTGCATCACATGTTCATTAGGCTAGGTAATACACCTTTAACTGCAGAAAGCAACACCGACAGATGTACTTGATCAATTGCCAAACCTTTAGCAATATCATCAGTAGTTGGTAAGTCATGACACTTTTATTAACAGAATACCTAAATGGTTCAACGTCCTTATTACTGCTGAGGTTATTTACCGACGTGTTTCCATGTGTTAAATGTATGTGTGTATGTGTAGAGAATTCAATTAAGACAATGGTATGTATTGTATATAATTAAAAGCCAAATAATTTAGGATATATGGATATGGTCCTTGACGTGAATGTCCAAAACTTGATTACCTCATCAGGTTGTTAATGCAAACTTACTTAATTTAATAAGATCACGCTACATTACATAAGATAGCAGAAAAACCTGGTTTAGTAATTAATATATTGTTTAAGGATCTGCTCTTCTGACATTAAAATCATGTCAAATATTGGTTTGATCTAATATGACAAGGTTTCTCATAACATTTAGCAAATTTTGAACAAGTTTTAAAGCAAGCATGCAACTTAAGATATATGTCAAAACATAGATATCAATTATTTACAGACCTTTTTTTATAAAGTTAAAACAATAACCAGTTTGGCGGCCATTTGGAAAATGTGAATTTCTTACGCTCCATAAAACGTAATTTCACATTTTAAACATTTAATTTATCACTCGAACTATCACTGTGTCGCCATTTTTATTTAAACAAGTTCATATTGTTCAATATTTGAAAGCAATATCCATCAAAGCGGAAAATTATGCAATATTGGTAGCTGAATCCTTTTTCTGGGTCACTGAAGCCCATGTGTTTTTTAATCTTGCAAAATAAATGAAAAATTATACAAAAACAATATATCAAAAAAGAAACACAGTGACCTCCATTGACCTCCATTTTTGACTTTTTGAGGGTGAGAAACACATTTTCGTTCATCAGAACTTTTTATACCAATCAATAAATCAGAAAAAAAAATACATTAGGGGAAGTGGTAAGCTTCATTGCTTTTTTGAGATCAAATCATAGTTTTAAGACTTATTCCCTAATTGAATAGAAAATACTTTTTTTAACACTTGTGCAAACATTCATAGTTTTCTTATAACAGATTGAGAAGATAGTGTATGAATTTGTTCTGCTTTCACGAAAAAATCGTATTCTACGTAAAATTCGTATGGTTGATAGACCATAGCGAAAAAACGAGCATACGGATATCTCATTTTCTTTGTATTTTCAATTTGTCTTTTTGTCCTCTTTCTAAAAGGATATGGGCTAAAAAAAAATATACAGTAGAAAAGTGTTCCTTTTTACAAAAACAGAACATTAACTGTGATGATTGGGTCTCTTTAAGCTGATGAACGTACACAAAGACAGGTAATGGAAGACGGTTACCATGATAAACAAGCTTTGAAGTGCATATAGCAAGCTGACGCCCTTTCTAAATCAATGAGTTCCAAGCATATTTTCTTTAATCTATCAATATCAAAAATCAAGCTCAAAGGTCAACGATGATACACTGTAAAGAAAAATCGATTAGATTTCGTTTCTCAGTTTTTGAGAAGGTACATGAAATATTCAACACGTCTTTTACGTCATATCATAGTAAGTGACGTGCAGACGCAAATATATTAACGTACGGTAACAACATGAAATATTTTACTTGAAATATAATACATGGGGACAATGGTGTTTGAATATGTTAAATCAAAGTAACCATGTGACGAAATAGCGAGAACAGTATCCAGATATAATTGATAATCAGGTTGGACATTTTGTCCAGATTGACAAAGATATGAAAAGCGATAATGAGCGCGAGAGTCTGTAACTTTAAAGCATCGCCTAGTTAGTTGGTAGAATTTCCTACTTCAAAACTTCGGTCAAGACTCTTGGCCGTGTATCATAATAGATTTCAATCTTAATGTGATAAAGTGTTGAAATTATCCTCCCTTTATAGACAACTTGCAAACAACACACACACGCGACCAACACGTTTGACATACAGGCAAAGTGAATCATGGGGTCTTTGTTTACTCACACTACAATAGTTTCCGGATGGCACAATAGAATGGGTTAACAGAACTTACAAGATGTTTAGTAAAGATATACCCTATTTACATATTATCGTTTTTGATAAAAAAAAACGCCCTTTATTTTAGTACTTTACATTATGTTATAGTTCAGATACAGTCGATTCAAAGAGACAAAAATTAACTCTCTTACAAGACTTCGATTTATTTAGCCCTGCGATGCATTTTTTATATATTGACTAGCGTTAAGATGGCCATTTCTTTTTTTAAACCACCTTTGAGCCTTCTCTAGATCAGTCTTTACGACATGTATGTGTACATGAATGTTAAAAATGCAACCATTTTTTGTGTACCTTCAAAAATCCATTCATCATTTTATTGAAGTCATTGAATATGAGAGGTGATATTTAGAACCCCATGTTAGATCTTCCCTCTCCGGTTGTTGCGAGAAAGATAGCATATATCCCTAATGTACGCAGGGGTTATGTTTAATCAATGCAAACAACATTGCATTAAAACGGTTTTAATTACATCCGTATTTTGGCAATTTAACATTTCATTAACTTAAAATCATATTTGTTCCCAAGCCAAGTCTTGAATCATTATCAATTCTTGGCAACGCTGTAATGTGCACTGTCGTACCAGAAAAGATTTATTGATTATACAATATATATTAAGACACCTGCAGAGGGAAGTCAAAGCATTGTTAGTTCGTCGTCTGCCGATATTCTCTCTGTCAGGCTACCAAATATATACAACAGCTACATTATTCATTTCACAAAGCGGCGTCAGACGGGTCATGTCACCGAAACGTGCATGAGTAAACAAAGGTTATGATTTATAAGGACTTATATCGATGACCACCTGTATACGGAGTCAGTCCGCTATCAAATTTATCATAATAATTTAAACTGTGTCAAATAATTTTCAATGATTTGTCATCGGTGTGTCTTTGTAGTGTTTAGAGACCTGTCGTGTTTATTTAAATATCAGAAGGGTGCATTTCATGATTACATTCCTTCGCATGGTGTGCTTATGACAGATTGTAGCAATACACATCAGAATTTGAGAACACGACAGTGGATACAAAATACCACAAAGGGTTGTAAATATTTGGAATGGAAACACCACGATCAGTTTGTAAGTAAATCGCTAGACATTAGAAGTAAACAAGCGCCTATTCAATAACTCGAAGCAGAAAGCCAAAGCTTACACTTTACTGCACGTTATACCTATGTTGTTCATTTTGGACCCGTCAGTAGTAATGAAAGTAAAATAAAATATTACAGCAAAAGAGGGAAAGTGCCTATATTAAAACCCTTATAGCTTTACTTTTCAATTGTTTGCCACCAATTTTTTTAAACATTCTAAATTTAATATTTCTTTCTGTGTCAGAATAAATTCCATCTACAAGACAACGGGTAATCTGATTGACTGGTAGTCAATAATCAGAGTCAACTACCTTGTGACGTAAGTTTACGAATTGTCACATTAGATGCAATACGACTCTGGAAAAACAGTCGGTCGTATTAAAGGGATGATTCATAGATCCTCGACGTATGTTGACCTCTATTCCCTTACCACTGCACCCTACCTTCGTACGTGTTAGTGTCATTGGAGGTGCAGTTTTACTGTAAACATAAATATTTTGGCGGTTACCTTATTTCAGCGCTTTTTGTGTCTTGAAAATATTAAGCAAAATTTGATTGAGCTTAATGAAGTTTGTATATGTATACATACTTTTGATGCACATCTTCATCAATGCATTTATCTGGTAACTTTCTATAGTGCGCTAAAACTTGAATCGCTGAAATAGCTACAATTGGTTTGTATGTTTACTTTTCATAATCAGGA